GGAGCCCCAAGAGTCTCCCAACAGGGAGAACCGCACCCCCCCAGAGAGGAGCAGAGGAAAGAACCGGGTGACCCCAGCCACCACAATGCAGAGCCTCCAGGAAGCTGCAGCGACGAGCCCACAGGTCCGGCCGGCGACCCATGCCCCCCCCAGGTAGATCCGGCCGGCGACCCATGCCCCCCCCCAGGTAGATCCGGCCATGGACACGGAGCCCCGAGGCCATACCACCCCCCAGCAGAGCCCCGACAGAGCCAGGGCACCCAGGCCCCGCCAGGCAGCAACCAGGGCGGACCGACGTGCACCCCACCACCCAGCCCAGACACAGAGAGCCATCAATGCACCGGCGGCAAGGGGGTCCCCCGCCAAAGGGGGGCACGACCGGGGGGAGTGGGCCCCACACCAAACGTGGGGCCCAAGTTGATCCAAGAGAGGGGGGACCACCAAAAACCCAACCTGAGCAAACAACTGGCACACACAGATAGCCCGACAGAATCTCTGTCGGGCCGACCGCATGCACCATCTACCTGACAGCGACCACAGGCCGGCCCCAGCCCAAGGGGCAGAGCAGCAGGGAGCCGCAGCTGAGGAGGGCCGGCTCTCACATCAAGAGCTCCGCACCATAGGCCCGGAGACGCCACCCATGCACCCCCCCACACACAGCACCCCCACCGCAAATGCCACACAGGAAGACCAGCCAGTGCCCCGATGAGGCGAAGCCACGCCCCCAACCGCCGCCCTACACCACCAATGACCACACGTACACTACCATAGCCGACCCCCCCGCCGAAAGCCGGCAGCCACCCCGGTCAAAGTGCCGGCCATCGCAACCAGGAACCTAGATTAAAAGAATCGGAACAGCCCAGGAGGAACCGAAGCACCGGCCCCACCACTGACCGCCCCCAAGGCCCAAAGCCCACCCACAGCCCAGACCCCAACAATGCGCCCCCCCCCCCCATCCCCGACCCCTAGTGTCACACGGAGAAAGGAGGTGTTTGTGAAAGGGGAAAAAAAAATAATAATAAATAAATCTATATATGCATAAATAAATTATGAACAGACCCACTTCCTCCTCCCACTCGAATATGGTGTTGATGCATGTTGTTATACAGTGCGTTTAAAATGGGGGGATGAGGTGGCGACCGGCACAGACCCACCTCTTGCCCAGAGAGCAGGCGGCGCCCGTTCACCCCTCATCTCCGCCCAGAACCCTAAATGTCTACATGCTACATATAAGAGTGGGCACAGGTCCGGGGAGGTGGAAATGGTAGTACATCCCACCACCTAAGTGCGATCATGTGCCCACTCCAGATCCTATATATGCATGTGTCGTGAGAATGTTATAAGTGTGTGTCTAGGTTGTATATTAAAATTAGGGCCCAGGACCCCACCAGCCACGGAGATGGATGATTCTCCCCGTAGCTCAGTAGTGCACCTGAACCTCACAGCAGCTACATTCCAGTGTAGATTAACTGCGAGACACAAAATATATTCCAGTCATAGCACAGAAAGCAGTATGTTATACTCTGGCGCCATTTTTGTTGATAGAAATATGCCTTTGGTCCGTGTGTATGTTAAATATACGCATGTAGTGCGCATGTGCTTTGACACCTCTGCGGAATGTTTCACATATTCAACGGGTGGTGTCCCATAAAAACTCCACTCTGAGAGGTGGGTTGAAAAACCTCCAGATTCAAAGAGGGGAGCTACTGGTGTCGTGTAAATGAACAGCAGAACTGCAGAGAGAAAGGTGCAGTTTCACGTCAAAATATGTGTCCAGTAAATGGCCCCTAAGGCTCAGTGAATCATTACTCAGTGTGAGGCTCAGTGAGTCACTGCTCATAATGAGGTCCAGTGAGTCATTCCTCAGTGTAAGTTCCACTGAGTCATTACTCAGTGTGACGTCCAGTGAATCATTATTCAGTGTGAGGCCCAGTTAATCATTACTCAGTGTGAAGTCTAGTGAGTCATTGTTCAGTGTGAGGTCCAGTGAGTCATTATTCAATGTGAAGTCCAGTGAGTCATTACTCAGTGTAAGGTCCAGTGAGTCATTACTCAGTGTAGTGTCCAGTGAGTCATGACTCAGTGCTCAGTGTGAGGTCTAGTGAGTCATCACTCAATGTGAAGTCTAGTGAGTCGTTGCTCAGCGTGAGGTCCAGTGAGTCATTACTCAGTGTGAGGCACAGTGAGTCATTACTCAGTGTGAGAAACAGTGACTCATTGCCCAGCTTGAGAAACAGTGACTCATTGCCCAGCTTGAGGTCCAATGAAT